TCTTGGTGTGTTGTATGTTTCTAGAAATTTGCCCATTTCTTACAGGTTGTTCACTTTGCTGGCATTTAACTGTCCATAGTACTCTTATGATTTTTTGGATCCTGCTGTACTGGTTATTCCTCCTCTTTCATTTCTTCTTTTGTTTATTTGGGTCCTCTCTCTTTTCTTCTTGGTGAGCCTGGATAAAGGTTTATCAATTTTATTTAACTTTTCAAAAAACTAGCTCTTGGTTTCATTGATCTTTTCCATTTTTTTGTTCTCTATTTTATTTATTTCCTCTCTGATCTTTATTATTTCCCAACTTCTGCTGACTCTGGGCTTTGTTCTCCTTTTTCTAATTCCTTTAGATTGTAAGTGAGGTTGTTTGAGAATTTTCTTGTTCCTTGAGGAAGGCTCATATCACCATAAACTTCCCTCTTCAAACTGCTTTTGCTACATCCCATACATTTTAGAGACTGTATTTCCATTTTCATTTGTCTCAAGGTATTTTCTGACTTCCTCTTTTTTTCTTTGATCCATTGGTTTTTTTTAGTGGCATGTTGTTCAGTCTCATGTGTTGGTTCTTTCCCCATTTTTCTTTCTGCAATTGATTTCTACTTTCATACCGTTGGGGTCAGAAAAAATGCTTGATATAATTTCTATCCGCTTGAACTTGCTGACACTTGTTTTGTGGCCTAGCATGTGATTTATCCTGGAGATGTTCCATGTACACGTGAAAAGAATGTGTATTCTGCTGTTTTCAGATGTGATGACCTGTAGATAAATCTATTAAGCCCAACTGCTCTATTGTGTCACTTAAGATCACTGTTGGCTTACTGATTTTTGGTCTGGATGATCTGTCCACTGATGTAAGTGGGGTGTTAAAGTCCCCTACTATTATTGTCAATTTCTCCCTTTACGTCTGTTAGTATTTGCTTTATGCATTTGGGTGCTCCTGTACTGGATGCATACATTATATAATGCTCTTCTTTTTCTTCTATTATAGGCTTTGTTTTAAAAGTCTATTTTGTCTGATATGAATACTGCTACCCCAATTTCTTGCCATTTCTATTTGCATGAAATATCTTTTTCCATCCCCTCACTTTCAGTCTGTGTGTGTCTTTAGCTTTAAAGTGAGTATCTTGTAAGCAGCATTTAGATAGATCTTTTTTAAATCCAATCAGCCACCCTATGTGTTTTGATTGGAGCATTTAGTTCAATGATATTTAAAGTAACTATTGATAGATATGTACTTACTGCCATTTTATTACTTGTTTTCTGGTTGGTTTTTTTTGTAGTTCTCTGTTCATTTCTTCTTCTTTTTGTTTCTCCCCTTGTGGTTTGATGATTTTCTTTAGTAGTATGCTTCTGTTCCTTACTTTATATGTCTTGTGTATCTACTGTAGGTTTTGGATTTGTGATTACCATGGGGTTCTACGTTGACCTGTGACTATATCTACTTGTTTTAAATTGGTATTCATTTAAGTTCAAACTCATTCTAAAAGATCTGTATTTTTTACTCCTTCGCCACATTTTGTGTTTTTGATGTCATATTTTAATCTTCATGCTTCTCCCCTTATTGCTTTTATAATTTTTTTGTCTTTTAATCTTCATACTGGCTTATTTAACTGGTTGATCTTCAGTACTTACTATATATGTGGCTTTCCCACGGGGATTTTCCCTCTCCTATAGATTCTTACTTCTTTTCCACTTAGCGAAGACCCTTTAACATTTCTTTTAGGGTTGGTTCAGTATTGATGAACTCTTAGTTTTTGCTTGTCTGAGTTCTTCATCGCTCCTATTCTAAGTGATAATCTTGTTGGGTAGCATATCCTAGGTTGCAGGTTCTTCCCTTTCAGCACTTGAAATATGTCCTGCCACTCCCTTCTGGCTTGCAAAGTTTCTGCAGAAAAATCAGCGGATAGCCTTATGGGGTTCCACTGTATGACTTATTTTTCTCTTGCTGCCTTTAGAATTCTCTCTTTAACTTTTGTCATTTCGATTATGATATGTCTCGATGTGGGTCTGTTTGGGTTCATCTTGACTGGGACCCTCTGTGCCTCCTGCACCTGGATATCTGTTTCCTTCTTCAGATTTGGAATGCTTTCAGCCATAATCTCCTCAAATACATTTTAGATCTCCTTTTCTCTCCCTCTCTGAGACACCTATAATGTGAATGTTGGTAGACTTAACGTAATCCCAGAGATCCCTTAAACTGTCCTCATTTTTAAAAATTTGTTTTTCTTTTTGCTGCTCTGATTGGGCAATTTCCATTATTCTATCTTCCAGACGACTTAGGTGTACCTCTGTATCACTTAGTCTATTATTCATCCCTTCTAGTGTGTCTTTTTTTTTTATTTCACTAATTGAATTCTTCATTTTCATTGGGTCTTTTTTATACTTTCTAGTTTCTGGCTAAAACTCTAACTGTGTTCATCTACTCTTTACTCTAGTTCAGTTAACATTCTTATTACCAGTGCTTTGAATTCTTTATCCAGTAATTTGTTTATTTCTGTTTCACTAGTTTTTCAGGGGTTTTCTCCTGTTCTTTCGATTGAGACCAGTTCCTCTGCCTTTTCATTTTGCTAATCTTTCTCTGCCTCTATGAATTTAGGTGAAAAAGTTACCTACTGCAGTCCTGAAGGGGTGTCCTTACATGGGAGTACCCCTATACAGACTGCAGGTGCCCAGTGCCTTTGGCGGGAGAGCTGGATTTCATGTGAATGCAAGTCACCCTTTCCTCAGGGTGTGCTGGCAGCTATCACCTTGGTATGGGTGGGGCTGGAGATGAAGGGGCCAGAGCTGAAGGCGGGTGTGAGGTGGGGCTTCCTCTCTGCTCGGTGGCCATCACCTCCGTATCAGGGGTGGAGTCTGATGCCAAGGTGCTGAAGTAGAAGCCCTGAGGTTCAGGCCCGAGCTGGCTCTGTTCCTTTAAGTGTGTGCTTTCCCTTCTCCCAGCACTGGGACCCTTACCCCAGAGGACGAGGGAGTGCTGAAGCAAGGGCAGAGGATGCAGGCTCTCAGCTTGTGTAGCTTGACCACAGAGATCTGAGCTGTCTCCAGTGCACTGTCTGTACAGGCACCAACAATTGTTTCCCTCGCTCTGCTCAGATGCAGCCTTGGGTCCAAGTACCCTTCTGCCCCTCACAGTCATTCATTGCCCCCAATCTCCTCCAGCCCTGCCTTGCTGCGGCACCCTTGGCAGTTGGAGCCTGCGTGACCTCTCAGCATGCATCGGAGGGTGAGTTGTGGTTGAGTGGCCGCCGTCAGAGGTCTGGGCTGCTCCTGATGCACTGCTTGAGTAAGTGCCAACAATGGCCACCGCCTCCCCCACTGCCCAGGCTCCATCCTGGGACCAGGTCACCTCTGTGTCCCACAGTCTTCTCTCTCGTGTGGCCAGCCCAGCTCCAGTGCCATCTTGTGACATGGAGTAAGTGGGGCTAGAGCATTTGCTGGGCTAGGGCTGGCACGTGCTGAGGCAGCTGCAGGAAACCCCTGTCTGTCCTCTCTGCCCTGCCTCAGGGGCAAGCCAGGGCACACGTGCTCCACACAAGCAGGGTCTAGGCCTTCCGCAGCTCTCCTGTTGGTGCCAGTGGTCCTCCAACCTAAAAAGGGGGCTTGTTTCCCCTGTGTATAACCCCACGACTCAGGTGCCCAATCTGTGGCTCTCACCGCTCACTTCCCAGGGCATGTCTCCACTTGTGCAATCTCCCTTTTCCTCTGAGTCCCCTCCCAGGGGTCCCTACCTGATCCCTTTTCTTCCCTTCCTACCCGATTACATGTGAATCTTTCTTACGGTCTTGGTTGTACAGGAGTCTTTCTGCCAGTTTCCAGTTGGTTTTCAATGAGAATGTTTCCACGGTTAGATGTATTCTGGATGTGCACATGGGGGAGGTGAGTCCCACATCGTCCTACCGGGCCATCTTGATCAATCTTCTCTAATAAGAATTACTAAACTCAAACTAGGTATTTTTTTTTGCCTGC